CTATTTAAGACTATTTGATGTGGCTAGTTTAATATGTTTTTATTGATTTTAGAGTGCAAAGAAGGGAGACGGAGAGATAGAAACATCCATGAGAGCCCTGGCTTGTGTGGCTCATTGGTTAGAGTATTAGTTACCAGGGTTATTTCTTTTCCAGTAGCACAATGAGCTGTGTAAAGTGTTGGCCCTAGTTAGGTTACTCAGTGGGTAGAGCATCGGCCCATGGACTGAAGGGTCACAGTTCGATTCCAGTCAAGAGCACATACCTCAGTTGCAGGCTCAATCCCCAGCCCTGGTCAGGGCACATGCAGGAGGCAACCAGTCGATTCTCTCTCACATCAATGTTTCTCTCTTTCTTTCCCCCTTCTTTCCACTCTCTCTAAAAAATCCATGGGATAAAATATCCTCGGGTAAGGATTAACCAAAAACAGGTACTGAAGTTAAGGAAAGCTAGGGAATGTCCCCCGAGTTCCAAGGCAGGAAATGAGAAAAAGGAGTGGGTTTCCCCAGTACACATATAAAGCAGTCCATCAGACACAGTGTGGAAGCTGTGTGGTCAGGGGTAGGTGCATCTTAAAGACTCTGTCTGTTTGGGTTCTCCCAGAAGCTGACATCAAAAATACATCAAGATGGGATTAGACATGAGAGATTTCCGGTGGGGAGGGGGGTGCCTGTGAAGGATAAAAGGGGAATAAGCAGGAGCAGGCAGGGAAAGCCTTGAGAACATGAGCAGGTCTAATATCTATGAAAGGAGAGAGGGGAGATTGAGAAGAGCCTCACACTGATGCTATACAGTTCTGAGGATATTGGGTAGGTCAATGGTGAGTCTTCTGGCAAAAGCTGACCAATAGAGGAGTTCCGCATGGGCAGGAATGGGCTGGCACTAGTACCCTGGAATGCTCAGTCACTGGCTGGGAAGAGTGCAGAATAAGTGTGCTCTCAGAGCAAAGGGTGTAATGCAGCGGTTCTCAATCTGTGGGTCGCGACCCCTTTGGGGGTTGAACGACCCTTTCACAGGGGTTGCCTAAGACCATCGGAAAACACGTATATAATTACATATTGTTTTTGTGATTAATCACTATGCTTTAATTATGTTCAATTTGTAACAATGAAAATACATCCTGCATATCAGATATTTACATTACGATTCATAACAGTAGCAAAATTACAGTTATGAAGTAGCAACGAAAATAATTTTATGGTTGGGGGTCACCACAACATGAGGAACTGTATTAAAGGGTCGCGGCATTAGGAAGGTTGAGAACCACTGGTGTAATGGATCCAAAAGGGTGGCGGCAGAGGCTGTCAATTGGCTATGTCCTTCACAGTAAGTCCTTTTGATGGGGACCTGCATAGCAAGCTTCTCTGGCTGTCACAGAAGCTACTTAAACTCCTGTTGTTAATAAAAATAAATAAATATTTAGTCTTTGTTCCTGGTTTCTGGCATAGAGCTCCTAAAATCATTGGAATTACAAATGATAAAAGTGTGGACGAAAGGGGCCACATGCTAACCTGACAGGCTCATGGAAGGCCTGCATGGCAGTCTTGCAAACTCAGAGCCCTAAAGTAACCACAAAGGATGGTCTGAAATTAAGCTTTAACTCAAAGCAGTTATGGTGGGTAGTAACATCCTAGGCCGGGATCTTCACTGACAAGGTCAACCTTTACCTTAACTGAGCCTATCTGTCTTTTTGTATCTAAAATAACATACCCTTGAAATGTCTGGGTAACTTGTAACTTCCCTTTTGCTGGACCTCTTGGGGCACAACCTAATGTGCCTGGACTCCAGGACAGATACCACAAATTCCTTCATTGTTATCATGTTAATTGTTCCTGCACCCACCTAAGTATGTGTCTATCATTTTACTTTTTATCCAATCCCAGGGGTTCCCCCCCATACACCCTACCCCCACCCCCACTTTGCTTTCTCCCACCTCTCTAGTCTACCACCAATGGATTTCATGTAACCCACCTACATCCTTCCTTTGATTGTAATGCATAAATATAGATGTAACTTGTCATTCTCTGGAGCATTATCTCAAAGTTTTGCTTCCCGGAAATTGTCAACAGATTGACTCAAATAAACTCACAAAAATTATTTACGGGTTTCAATGTTTTTTTTTTACGTTAACAAAAGCCTGGATTATATGCTAATGAAATAGATGACTTCTGGTGGGGGCCTCTAGATAGCTTCAGGATGGGAGCTGTTTGCCAGAAAAACCAAACATGTGATTTAAAGGTTAGAAGTTCCAGGTCCACTCCCCACCCCACCTCCACCTCTGGGGCATTGAGCTCAATCACATACCCAGTGATATAATCAATCAATCATGCTGCAGTGGAGCCTGAATAAAAATTCTTGAATGAAAAATGAGGCTTGGGGAGCTTGAAGACACAAGGTGCTAGGAGGGTGACCCACCCCGAGAAGGTATAGAAGCTGTACATATATTTGCCCCATGAATCTCTTCCATTTGTTCCTGAGTTATATGCTTTATAATAAAACTGTAATCATAAATATTGTAGTTTCCATGATTTCTGTAATTCGTTCTAGTGAATTATTGAACCTAGAGGTAGAGAAAAGTGATGGGAACCCCAAATTTGTAGTCAGCTGGGAAGAAATGTTGGTAGCCTGGGGACCCCACTTGTGGCTTGCTCCTAAAGTGGGGGCAGACTTAGGGCAGTAAACCCTTAATTTGTGGCATCTGTTCTAACTCTGAGCAGTTAGAGTCAGGATTGAATTGAATTGTAGTTATTTGTTGTTGGAATGACATATTTGTAAGAAGAAGAAAAAAACCCACACAACTCCTAATTATACTGTGGACTTGCCACTGAAACATCACCTCCTGCTCCCAAGTCTAGCTCAGGCCCTGGATTTCCTTTATAACACATGTAAAGAATTATTCATATAATTATCTGATAAGTGTCTGCCCCAACAGTTAGACTGTAAGCTTCTTAGTGCCTGTCTTTTGCTGAGTAGTTATCTGTTCCTATATTTTTAATTAAATATCCAGAGTTAGAAATCCTCTCTTATTATAGGGCTGCCGTGAGGACTGAAAGAGTTAATATATGTCATGCACTTTCACATACTAAGCACAACATGTGTTTGCTATTAATACTGCTCATCTCTCTCTACAGTTCTTAAACTCCTGTAGTATAAAGCAGGCTACAAATATGTTAAGGTAAACTGAATTTGTACATACATGTGTTAAAGTTAACTGTTTAGTAAAATTCCAAAGTATGGGTTCATTTTCAGTATGTCTTTCCTTCCAACAGCATCAAAAGGCCACTTCCAGGTGTAGTTCAAGTATCTGAATGAAGAGAACCTGCCTATGTTATGATCACAGGCAAGAGCCTATTGCCAAGAATTGGGTAAAGCAAGGTAAAAATCCCTTCCAGAAAAACCCAGGCCTTAGTCTTATACTTAGGTAGCTATGAATAAGTGAGTAAGATGTTTACAAACAAGCAAACTACTGAAAGGAAGGGTAAAAAATTATTTTGGATTAGAAGTTTGTGGGAACTTTTTCCTCTTTAGTTCTGTGTAGATAGCTTGTGATATTTAAAGACAAGATAAAATTACCAACTAAAAATAAGTGGGAAAGCCAATATGAATTAGTAAATATACTTGCAACTATTTAAATCCAAATACAGTCAAGAACTCAGCCTTGCCTTGGAGTCTACTAGTAATGGTCCTCAGGAATCATTTTAAGAGACTACCTTAAAATCTATTTATTTATATTTATATGTGAGTAGGTGGGTGTTTTAAGTCAGTATGCTTTTACAAGGCACAAACACTCCACCTCAGGATAAGAGCATAGCACTTGGTCAATAAACATGTTCAATGAATATAAGGCCATCAGCACCCAATATTTTACTGGATATTTATTTGTTTTGTACCTAAGTAGATGATTTTTAATAGAAAACAAAGCATGTAAAGGGTGTTTATCATCAACCTGAAACTAAATGCCCATGACCTCTGATACATTAAATGCTACAGCTTAAGGAGATGTAGGTTACTTGAAATTAATGAGCTTCTATTTGAGGAGAAAAATGTAGCAATCTCGCATTGAAACCACCTAGCTCATCTACCTCAACTAAGGTTAACCCTAAACTGATTAATATTAAAAGCCTGGTACTTATGAATTCTCCCTAAAGTTAAGGGATGAAAGAAAATCTGCTTATTGGTCATAAGGTTATATATTGTTCCTTAGCAACCAGCATTTGTCTTTCATGTGACTGGAAGTTGATGAAAAGAGGGAACTAGGAATGAAGCCATTCGGACAGTTCCAATTCACAGAGGCAGCACTTCAAAAGCAATAATGTCTTTACAAATCATACTGTTGAGTTACAGAAGCTCATTTTATTGGGCAGAAAGAGAGAACCGCTGACACTTTGCATAACAAATGTTTCCAGGATACCAACTGTAGTCCCTGAACCAAAGATCAAGAGTAAATATGAAGAGCACTTATCAATGTCAGGGACAGGGACTGCACTCACTTCCGCACTCTCTCCCTCAACTCCTCTGGTCCTACGTGGCTAGTTTATCTGCGAGTTTCCTTGGGAGGCAGCATTGGGAGCAACCCCCACCGCATGCCCCCTTCTCCCTGACCTTGCAGCTGATGTGGAGACAGCATTTAGGGCACCGATGTTTGATACAGTAAGACATTTTTTTCTAACGAGTATGAGTTCTGAAGATACCTGGAAATTAGGAAGAAGCCAAGGCAGTTTTTCCACGCCCAGTATTTCAATCCTGGAGCCAGTCACCAGATTCAGGAGACTGTTGGTCTTGAAAGGAATAGGGGCTCAGATAAATATGTAAAGAACTCACACATTCCATTTACATGTGCTTTTGTTTAGGCAAATGAATTTCCTTTCTCTCAAAAACCCTGTTATTGGGCCCCTGTGGTTTCAAACTGTACTGATGAAGAAGGTAGGTGTCTGCGGTGGGTAAGTTTGGGGTCAGGCTCCTGCCCCCTCCGCCCCTCCAAGGGGTGTTGTAAAATACTTACAGCCTCTGGTCCGCCTGCCCCAGTCCGTCCCGCGAAGGGGTCTCCGGAGGAGCCGCCTCCAG